CAGATGAGATTAGGGGACACTGGGAGAGAAGGGGCTCTTCTGGGGTACCGGGACCGTTTATTTTTTGCTCTTTATCGCTTGCACTTTGAGTCAGCCTCTGCTCTTTCACCAGGCACACTGAGCGTCCTCACTGCCGCGTGAACATTTGGTGTCCGAGGGGTCCGGGCGGTCGCTTCTTGCTCCAAGGTCTTAGGGATGTTCTTCTCTGAGGAAGACTTTGATTACTAATTAACTAGCAAATCTGATCCTGAGGAAAACTGGGCAGTCATTTGCATTTGAAATCCATTAACATCCACACAGTAACTGGTTACCAGAGCCTTGGCTGCTTTCTGTGCACTGTGCTCTTCTGTTTTGACTGTCAGCTCACTCTTCGGAGAGGGAGCAGCGGGAGGTAATGAGGTATGTTTTTAAACTGGCTACAGAGTCTCGTGTGCAAGGGTGTGTGATCACCTTCGGTCAAATGCCTTTATTAACTTGTTAAACAAGACAAAAATCAGCATCAACAACAAACCACTATCTTATACAAACACACACACTGAATACAAATCGACTCTGTCCTGTGTGTTCCTCTGGCCCTGGGCTGGGTCTCCCAGCCCTATTGTAGCTAAACCTGTGTGTTTGTGTGTGTCTGTGTGAGGTATATTGAATGATTTAATGTTTGGGTTAAAGTAATTGGTAGTAATTATTTCTGATTTTCTAGATGAGGTGGGTAAGTGACGGGAAGGAGTTAGAATTTGGGAATTAGATGAGGGCATTTTGGGGATGTTCCTTCTAAAAGGATGTGGTGTGGTGGTGGAGAAGTGGTGTATAGAGAATCCATCCCAGTCTGGAAATTGAGAAATCTGTTACTACCTCTGTGAGTTTGGTGCATTTTGGATCAAATAAAGAATTACCATGGAGAAGAGTCTAAACGTGTGTTTGTGTGAGTGAGTGAAGTATTAGGGTGTGTACACGTCTTGGTGTGCAGTGGGGAATGGGAAGCTGTTGGATTGTGGCTGGTCCCAGAGATGGGCCAGCAACAACAAAGTAAGAAAGGTCAGGTCCTCACTGGTTGTTAAGAGTCTAGCTAGACGCACGTGGGTATTTCTTTTCTGCTGAGCCACTGAGGGGGGAAGGAAGAGTTACTATCGGGGAAACAGGGGGGAGACCAAGGTCAATCCCACGGGTCTCACTAGAAAGGGCTACCCGCGGGTTCCCGACAGAGGGTCTGAATGGTGACTTTCATGCGCTGGAAGGACCTCCCGATCTCCAAGCTGCACGTTGCTCTGACTCATGGTGTGGAGCAGGGTGTGGGGTGTGGTGTGTGGTGGGCAGGAAAGAGGAAGAGGGAGGGGTCTTTGGTTTGCTGTGCTGGGTGGGGCCAGCTGACCTGGAGGGCCTTCTTTCCTGTACCCCCAACTTAAGACGGCTCTTCGGTGTCTCATCAGGCTTCCACAGGAGCCAATAATTTTTATATCGGGCATCCCTCACAAATGATTTTGGTGGGCTAATAAAGTTGCTTTACAAACTGCTGCATGTGCCTGGAACAATAAGGACTAGATGGACCCAAGAGGAGAAATACTCCATTTAAACTTTTCCAAATCTGTGGAATGTGATGGAGAAGACAAGCCTTTGCACCCCTGGGTGCTGGGGTCATAGTAGCTCATCGCCGTCTTCTACTGATGTTCCCTCTGTGGTTCAGGTGGGAACATGAGGCCCAGAGAGGTTAAGCAGTTTTCCCAAGATCACACAGCTGAGTAGGATTGAGCTGGCTTTTAGATCTTTGCACTTTGGTTGTGACCAGACTTGGGGGAAGAAAAGGCTGTTAGCTACTTTTTCCCTTCCCATTCTCTAAATATCTAGGTGATACGGTACCAAGCCAGTAAATTTTGCCCAGAAGTTTTGAGGAATGGCCATGACTTGCTGGGTCCTCCTTATAAGTTATTTTCAGTCTCTGTAAAACTAACCCTCTCTTTTCCACCAGAGCTCTTCTTGCCTTGTGTTATCAAAAGATTTTTAAAAGGAAGCCTTAGATCACCATATGCAAATCAGAAACTGGCTATAATTCAGGAAAAATGAAAGTTGACTATCTAGTTTTTCCAAATACATCTAGATAGCCATTTCAGTAATTTGGGCTCCACCTGTCTACTTTGCCTAATAATTATAACAGTGCCAGGAATATGAGCTTTGGCTATTATTTTGATAACCATTTTCATTCAAGAGGAAAAAGTTACTGTGGGAGTCTGCATGATGAATGTACAGAAATAATTTGCAGTTTTTCAGTGAGATTTTCCCTGCTCAGCCTAATTGTAATCGCCAGCCCCCACCCTCACGATCCTCATCTTCCCTCCTGCCCAAACCTTATTTTTCTCCACAGCACTTATCAAAGTCCATCTTACTGTATGTACATTTATTTCTCTTTTTCTTCTACCCACAGGAATGTAAGTCCCATGAGAGCAAGAATTTTTACCTTTTTATTTGTTGTTGCATAACCAGCTCCTAGAGGAGTGCCTGGTACATTGTAGGAGTTTAATCAATAATTGATGAGTGACTAATAAACCGCAGTCAGCTCTCCTGATCCTCCGAAGACAGAGGAGTGATAAGCGTGGAAAATAAGGTGCAATGCCAGCTCCTTCTCTTGGCTGTCACAGGGAAGTTAGAACCGTCCTGTGGGCTATAAACTTAAAGTGAACTGACTACTATAGAAGCTTACAAAACTGCTTTAAAATCCCCCAGGTGCTGTGGAGACTGAAATGTTGCAGGATTGTTAGGTTTTCTTTCCATAAGCCTCCTAACGCCCTGGTTGTCTTCTACAGGCATCTCCCATATGTCCTGTCCGCTGTTAATTTAGAAACCTTTATCATCATGAGTGTATACATTTTCTGCATTTGCATCACATGTGGAAATTGGCTTTGGATTCAGGCTGCCTGGTCCTGGGGTCTGGCCTTTATTCCCTAGATGCCAATAATATGTGCCCATTGGTGACAACCAAAAAGGCCTCCAGACAGTTCCAAATGTCCCCCGAAGAGCAAAATCACTCCCTCCTGTCTGAGAACTGAGAACCAATGCCTTGGGTAGATTCCCCAAAATGCTTGTGGCCTTTCCAACACTATCTAACAAGAGAGACTGTGGCAGAGCAGAAGTTGCAGTGAGAAGGTGACAAAAGTCTTTCTCAATTGTAGTTAAAGTATTTTACTTACAAATTTCACAAAACCCCATCAAGGCACTGTTGGGTACTCCCCAGGACCTGGGAGATGCCTGTAAAAATGAAGGGTTAGCAAGCCTCGGGGGGAAAAAAGTATCAACACAATGACAGTGGTATGACATTTGTAGCAAGTGCCATAGTCCAGGGTGGTTCTTGCCTTGAAAGAGACAGTTTTTCATGCAAATTCATTATTTGGCCTCTCTGAGGCTCAGTTAGGCTCTGAGGCTCATTTGTATAAAGGTCCCAGCTTATGGGGTGGTTGTGAGGATGAAATCAAATAAGGCGTGTAAGTGCTTCGCCCAGTGCCACGCACATCCTAAGTACTTGGCAATGACCCAGATGCTGTTTGATAAAAGCACAGCCTCACAGAAGGCCTGAGTGGAGTACACCGTGGGCATTGTGGCCTACAATGCAGTGGTTCAAAGTTCTGGCTGTGGGGTCCACAGGGCAGGTACTCAAATTGTAGCACGTCTCCTTATCAGCTTTGTGACATCAGGTAGGTTATCTGACCTTGCTGAATCTTAACTTCTTCGAAAGTGCAGATGGAAGTGGCAACTCACCGCGGGTTGTTCTGAGAATCGCAGGCAACAGATTACGTAAACCTCTTGGCGCGTTACTCAGTTGTACCAGTATTATGATGAAAATCGCACAGTTTGTGTTTCTCATATGAAACAAAATATTCAAAGATTGATGACAGGTTGCCAAGTAAATTTTTTTAAACTTTTCTTTCTTTTAAAAGCTGTTAAAGCTGTTGAAATTACTTCCTTATTCTGTTCGCCTTTTGCCATTTTCTGAATCTTGATTTTCTTTTCTAAATTGCATTTCTAATTGAAATGGTAGGTTTCACCATTGAGATCTATAATTTGGGAAGTAAGTTCAATCAGATGTTGCTGATGAGAGGTTTTTTTTCTTTCCCCTTAAGGTTTAAGGAAATGTTTCTCTTCTATAGCTAGAAAACAGTTATTGTTCCATAGAGCAGGTAACCATGTTTGAATATATGATGCAAATGGATTTTTAATGAGACAAACAGATTTTTTTAAAATGCATATGATATTTCTTCAAAAGTCTTATTTACATGCATATTAATTACCTATTGCTGCATAACAAATTACCCCTAAATTTAACAGCTTGAAACAGTAAATATTCATTATCTCACAGTTTTTATGGGTTAGGAAAACTTAACTAGGTGGTTCTGGTTCAACATGTCTCATGAGGTTGCAGCCAAGAGGTTGCCTGGGGCTGCCATCCTGTGAAGGCTTTCCTAGGGCTGGAGGATCTGCTTCTGAGATGCCTGACCTACATGGCTGCTGGCAGAAGTTCCTTGCTGGCTGATGGATCTTTCTCTGGATCGGCTTGAGTGTCATTATGACATGGCAGCTGGTTTCTGCAGGAAGTGATCCAAGAGAAAGAGGAAGGAAGAAGCTGTAATGCCTTTTATATCCTAGTCTTGCAAGTTACACACCATCCTCTTTGCCATATTCTGTTTGCTGGAAGTGAGTCCCCAAGTCTAGCCCACTCTTAGGAGGTGAAGGATGAAGGGCTTGGTTTCATCTCTTGGAGGGAAGACTATCGAAGAGTTGGTGGAACTTTAAAAAAAACCCCACCATATCACGATTTTGAATAATACTGAATTTTATTTTCACATTTTACTCAGTCCTTTCTCTGTGGTTATCTACACCACTCGCAGTCTTCTGCTGTTCCATGCCACGCTACAGTGAAAAACCTGTATCTGTACATATGTTGCTTCCCACATGTGCAGATGTATCGATGGGCTAAGTTTCTATAAACGGACTTTCAGATGATGGGTGTTAATAACTTTAACAGCTTTTGCCAAATCTTCATGGAGCATATGGTGTTTACAGTTTGACTAGCAAGTTGTGGGTGACTTTTTCTTTGTGGCATCCAACAAATTATGTTTACAAACATTTGGAAAATTTTCAAATATTAATATTAAAGAGCAAGCTCCTGTTTCACAACTATTAGCAGCCTCCAAAGAGAAGGAGTCACGGTCACTTCCATAGGCATTCTGATAACCCTCTCCTTGCCGGTGAACATGAGCTCGCTCTTTGCCCCACTAGTTAATTTAATTTTATCAGGCACGGAAGCTTATTCATCTTTATGACGTTTTACTTGCAAGAGTAGTATTATGGAATATCATATAAAAGCCTTTGGGAATGTGAGGTATTGGGGACAGGACAGGTAAGAAAGATTAGAG